GTTATAATGCGCTATAATCTGTAGTGCAGATATTATACTATGGCTTGTGCATTGGTTCATTAAGACAACCGTGTTTAAAATGTTCTTATAAATAAATATATATTTAAAAAAATACCACAGCAATGCTGAATTCTTGATTCTGATTAGTCGAGAGGTGTTGATAAATTTTCTTGAATTCTCGATTCTGATTATTCAGGAGGTGTTTTCTACAACAGGACGGCTCTGACAGTAATTCCAGCTGTAAAGATTCATATTGTTGCTATAGTAACAGCTAATTCACAGGGACTTGTATGGCAGACACTCCGCATAATCTAAGCCTTACAATAAAAAGCATGTTGTTATTTAACAAAGAAAGCATACAATTGCTCATATGGTGAAGTTTTCTGTAAGGAAACGTTTATTTAATATTTATGGAAAGAGGCTCAGGTGTGACTGCTTCCTAACAGTGGCACCACCAGTCTAGCACCAACATTCAGTAAGTTTTTCACTAGAGGAAAGTCTTCAGGAACGATGACATTTGGGTTACTCTGTAACATGACAAGCTGCATGTCTTTTTTTTCCCCAATCACCTTAACTTCATGTGTGGAGGGAAAAAAAAAGAGGTTGGTCAAACAAGCTGGTTTGAGTTTATAGCTATTAACGTAACTGATGTTAGTGATAACAGGAACTAACCCATCTCAAACTTGTTCCACAACACTTAATGTAATTAGGAAAATAATCCCGTTGTTGATTATTGTCCTAAAATGGCACATCCCGAAGTGTTCTATTCTCTACTTATTTAACCAGATACTGTAGTGTTATATACACATGCATTATAAAGCATTATGCATATAAACATAACTAGGGTAATATTGCACATTGTAAGATGCTGTGAATGCTATAGCATGCTGTAAATGCATTTATAAAGCATTATGAATGCAGGATTCATAAGAAATGTTAATCAAATTTCTGGACCAGTCAGATCAGATTGTGAGTGTGTTTAAACATTCTGATGTGGAGAATTTGTCACAAGAACAACAACAAAGAGGAAAGCTAGCATGAAAGTACATCAAGGTAGAACCTTACTGAAGGAACAGACATGGTATAAGCGAGCTTCTTCAGTTTTTTGTCAGTTTTGTCTGCACCCTGTCTGGTGTCCTAAGCTACTGAGCATGCACACACCAGCTTTGTTACAATGTCCTCCAATGTAGTCATGTGAGTAAATGTACCACTGTCTGAATGAACAAATGTGATTTGTTCTGCTTTAACTTTTTTAATTCTTCTGTGTATTGTGTACATTCTGACAACATACTTCTTTAAATTTTATTATACGATAACCTCAAAGGCCACTACATCAGATGGCAATGGACATAAATAACCTGTTGAACTGGAAACCACGTGGCATACAAAATATACACCACTTTAATAGTACCACCTGAAAACTTGCTCATTCATGTGACTATCCAATCAGCTAATCACTTGGCAGCAGGAAATTATGCAGATAAACGTAATAGCTTCAGGTAATTTTCACATCAGAACGTCAGAATGGGGACAGAATCTCTCTTTTGCTGTTGTAGCTCATCTGACTCAAAGTTTGATGCATTCTGTGTTTTGAGGTGTTTTTCTGTTCGCCATGGTTGTAAAGAGTGGTTTATGCATTCTCTGGCCATTCTCCTCTGACCGCTCTTATCAGCAACAAGTTTCCGCCCGCAAGACTACTGCTCACTGGATGTTTATTGTTTTTCACGCCATTATGAAACCCCAGGTGATCAGCAGTTTCTGAAATGCTCAAATCAACCTCTCTAGCACCAACAACAATGCCCTACTTACTACTTACAAAGTCTCTAAGTAACAAAGTCAAAGATGACATTGTTCCCCATCCTGATGTTTGACGTGAATATTACTTAAAGCTTTTGACCTGTATCTGCATGATTTTCTGGATTGGACGGCTGCCACATGATTGGCAGACTGGAGAATTCTATAAATGTTCCTAATAAAGTGGGCGGTGAGTGTAGATCTTTTGAAAACCACTTTATAACACATTGCTGTTAATTTGTTTAAAAGGAATGAACCAAGCGTCTCCCACTGACCTGGTCATCAAAAGTCTCCTTCTTGTCCAGCATTTCGCGGAGCGTCTGCAGAATCTTAATACACAACTTCTCTTCCTTATCCATCAGCTTCTTTGTGTGCTTTATCAGCCTATAAGCATACAGAGCCCAGTTAAGAAAGTTTTACCATTCAAAAGTTTCTTTCCATTTTATATGGGAAAAGACATGGCATCCAGGACACATGTTTCAGAAAATCTTAAAATATCTCAGATGCGTGTATTCTTTATTGACCTTACATGAGAAAGTAACAGGTTAGTCATAGTGGTGCAGCGGGAGGACCGCACGCTGTGGCTTTCAGAATGACTCATGCAGGCTTGAGTGCTTATGCAATAGTACAGACCAATCAGGCTGACACACACACGCAGGTAAGTGCTGTTCGAACACCTAATGCAAGATCGGAAGTCATTCATGGCAGAGCCCAATTCAGCGCCCACTCAAGAAACAAACAACACTTCGGCCTGCCCCGGATCACACCTCTACACCTCTCTGAAATAGCATCTTGCCTCTGACCCATCTGCCACATCTCCATGGTTTCGTTTACCAGATACAAATGTTGACTTCATAGGGATGTACAAATCAGTAACCCAGATACCCGGAACAAGCAGATTTTGTGTCTAGGCTATTGGTTTATAGTTGCCTGCTGGACAAGTAGGTATACTAATCAGAAAAAAAATAAACCTCCTTCCTGTTGACTTTTGGTAAAGTCAGTAGGAAGCAGTGTGCTTAACCCTATTATGAGTCACTGTAACTATAGCACATGCTTCAGAATTCCAGCACCTGCTGCACAACACACATCAGCAGATGTGCAATATCCATAGAATGTTTTTCACAAGGTGGAATAATTAGCATGGATGGATGACAGATGATCATTTCGGAATCAGAAACACATAGGTTTGTGGAAACGCTGACAAAAATCGAGTTTTATTTATATAAATCTCCTTCTTATTACACAGTGTCACCTCGTGGTTAAACATGTCGAGAGCAAACAAAGATGCTAGTTAGACTGGAATATAATCTTTAAGACAGAACATCACAGTGTACACCTGAAAAATTTGCCAACGACGTGCTGATTTTTTTTGACGAGGCTGCAAACTATGGAAGTTTTTTTTAAAATAAATTTTGTTAGAAGAGGATAATTACGATGAATTTTTCATTACTTAGACTGCACATTAGAGCTTTCACCTGCTCGGCGGGCTAGCTAATGAATTTGTGACTTGTCCACCCCTGCTTAACGTGATCTAGTGTTACATATGTAGATGTACACAGCATTTATTTGATTAAATAGTAAATTGGACTGAAAGAAAGTGTGTGTGTGTGTTCGTACTTGGTCATGAAGGCTCCAGTCTCACAGCGCAGTCGTGCTGGCTCGGGGAACAACAGCTCTGGACTATGCAGGATGTCAACCAATACAGAGAACTCGGCCTGCACCAGTGGACTGAACTGCTCTTTTAGATACTGCACTACCCCCTAACACACACACACACACACACACACACACACACACACACAGCAGGTGGTGCTATCACTTACATATGTATGAGCTCAGTTTCTGAGATCACAAAATAAGATTCATGATTTTGGACAAGATTGTCCATTTTGTTTTAAATTATTACAAGATGATGCGACATCCAGAAACTTTAAACCCAAAGTCTGCTTTAAATACTTGGAGCCAGAGCTTTTATACAGAATGTGACAGAGTGACGCAGGGTACCTGCAGTTTTTCAATGATGTTCTTGTAGTCTGGCGTCCCCAGCATTTCTTTGCGAGGTCGAGTACGAGCTGACAGCCTCCAGTCTTTGGCAGCACGCTGTACCATGTTGGTGTGAGTCTTCTGAGACAGAAAGTTCACCTGACCGTCCAGATCTACTGGTAGAGCTATGTTCCGGCTCTTAGCTGTGAGGAAAAAAAACAAACAAAATAAAATGCTTTTTTCATTCATTCATTCATTCATCCATCCATCCATTCATTCATTCATTCATTCATCCATCCATTCATCCATCCACCCATCAATAAGAACTTTATCCAGCTCAGGGAAGTGGTGGATTCAGAGCCTATACCAGGAACATTGAGCTCAAGGCCAGAACACACTCCGGATGGGATGCCAGTCCATCGCGCACACACAATCACATCTAGGGTCAATTTAGAGTATCCAATCCACCTATCAGCATGTTTTCAAGAGGTGGGAGGAAACCCACACAGGAGAACAATGCGAAATAACACAGACAGTAATCCGAGCTCAGGATCAAACCCTGGAGCTGTGAAATGCCACTGCTACCCACTGCCGTCATAAAATGCTTTATTTAAGAGAAAATTACTTATATTCCAGTCTGGTGATGTAATTGCTACCTGGTGACCTCATCTCCTGAGCCAGCATTGCAGAAAGTGCATGTGTGACCTAACAGAACCATTTGCATCAGTGTAAGATTGTTAAAAAAAAAATTAAGGGTTTTGTGGATTACACTTACTTGATATGATAATATTTTTTAACAAAAAAAGGATTTCTGTACAAATGGAAAAGGATAAAAGGCAATTAAACTTGAAGGTAACGCTTCACTGAGGTTAGTGAGAATCAAATAGAGGCTTTAGAAAGAAAAAATAAATGTTTTATACAATATTTAAGCAACTGATTCATGGCTATTGATTTGAATGACTACACAAACGATGTTCATCTTTGTTGGTCAGGCTGGCTGCCGTTACTACTGCAATTCTTATACTGGCTTTTGAATGAAGAATGATTCAAGTTGTTGTTCATCTTTCGGCTGTTCCCGTTAAGGGTCGCCACAGCGGATCACTGGTCCGCGTATTTGATTTGGCACAGCTTTTACACCTGATGCAACTCTCCCCAATTTTATCCTGGCTTGGGACCGGCAATGAGGGCGCACCGTTGCACGCAACCCCAGTGGCTGGGGTCAGTTCCCTGCGCGGGAATCGAACCCAGGCCGCAGCGGTGAGAGCCCCGAAGGCCTAACCACTAGTCCTCCAGGGACCCCATTTAAGAATTATTAAAGTAAAGGCATGAATATAGGTAATAAACAAAAGAAGATTGCCTCACACACCAGCAACCACTTGATATACTAACACATTAGTATGCCCAATTTGTTTGTAAGTTTGCACTGCTTCAAGCTGTGATAACTCACCCACATCAGCGAGGGTCTTGATGCAGGCCTCAATGTTCGTCTTCTGCAGAGCACTGATCCAAGTGCAGCTACAGACTCTGAGGGTGGACTGCAGCAGACGTACGAACGTGCCCTGGTGGGTCTGAAACAGAATGGTTAAAATTGGTGTAGTGTTTGCAGAGCAACGACACACGTGTCTGACAGGATGACTAAAAGACGATAAGGTACGAAGTGTAGGAGCATGTTTCTCAAAAAAAGCAGTGTGTGTGCTTTATACCTGCAGATTGGCGGTGCTGACAGAAAACTGAGAACCAAAGAAGCCTTTGACGATGGCTATGATGACTTCAGTGACATATTTCTCCAGCATGGGGTCAGCTCTATTTCTTTCTGCGGTGCCACTGCACACCTGAAAAAAAAAAAAAAAAAAGTGTGTACGCACACCCCATATGATCCAATGTATTACATCTACAAAAAGATAGCACAGGGTCCTTTTAAGCCATGCTGGTGTCCTTACTCTGGCCATGTCCACCAGGAAGTTTTCAAACAGGTTCCAGATGTGGTTGCTAGTGTATATTTCCTTCATCTCCACCTCTGTGTCCACGTAGCAGTGGTTCACAAAATTCACGTAGGCAATTTTCACCTGCAGAGGGCGACAAGCAGTCCAGCTGGCTGATTTCATATAGCCATGTGTGTATTAAGATGGGATTCCAGAACAAATTTCACTATTGAAATCTTTTCTTTGCTAAATTTTTGCTAAATGACCCTGTCTCTTTATGAAGTAAAACTGCAGCCTGCTTATGGTATGACTTACAGTGATATTTTTTTAATAAGATGCCTTATTTGTTTTAAATCTTTTAATAACGTAAATGTCTTCATAGGCAAAAATGAGCTAAAAAGTCCTGCCAGAATAACAAAAGTCTCTGTAATGCTGATTTTCTTTGCACTCATGTACGTAGCATATTGTATTGCATTGCAGTGTATTGTATTGCATTGGCTACCGTACACACATTAACTCTTCCTGCTTTTTAGGATGCCACTTCTTTGTTCTTAATTGAATCTCTAGTCTTTTTGTCTCTATTTAAGGATTTGTACTAGAGTGCTTTCTTTCAAGTCATTAATATGAAATATGTGTTTCACAAAATTTTCATTAAATTCATATAACTGAAATAAAGAAGCAATTAAAACTTGACAGCATAATCACTACATACAATTGCAGTAACACACACCACTTAGACTATCTGAAGCCTATAAATTACAGTTCACATTACTGAGTGTGCTTATACAAAGATGCACACAAACTCAGGACCTGCTGTTTTTTTCTGAACTGGATTACTGTGAATACCACATTTATTGTATAAGCTCCTTCAAACGATTTAAAATAAATCCTTTTGTATCCAGTTCAATAAAAATTTCACAGTATGGTGTTGTCAAATGGCAGGTTTTATCCAAGCGCACAAGCCCCAAAACACAGCCCTGACCTGTCAATAACCCTGAATACACTGAGGGTTATGTGTAAGAGAGCTTGCTTACTTCAGGGATGCAGTCCTCGTGAGTCACCACCTTGACGATATCATCAAGCGGCAGCAGTGAATTGCATTTGATCTCAGTGTAGACGTTCTTGCCCTCAGTGCAGGCAGCCAGCAGCTCCACCAGGTTGTTGTGGTAGGCCAGAGCACTGTTCTCATCACTGCGCTCCGCCTCTGAGTTCATCAGCTGCAGCAGCGTGGGGAATGAAGCCCGGTCATTGTATAACACTAGGACTTCCTCACCTGCATTCACCAGCTACACACACACACACACACACACACACACACACACACACACACACACACACACACAGAGAGGGGTTCTTTATAAGGACCTTCCACTGACATTATGATTATCGCATGTAACTAATCCTAACCTTAACCTCAGTAACCAGAAGAAAATATATTAGCCGTCTTAGCTATTCAAATAAAATACATGTAAACACACAGAGCAAAAATTCTGATAGCTATTTAAATTTACAAGCTTCTTATATAGGTCATAAAACAAAAATCTTCCATTGGCACAGTTTTTTATTATTTCTTTGTGATGTGACCTGGTAAAAAAAAATATATTGCCTAAAATATTTAAGCAAAAAACACAGTATTAATTTGAAGTCAGACAATTTGATACCTAATATGAAGAACACAATATAACCATGTCAGTAAGGCGATTAGAATCATTTACTCCCATCCAACAGACCAACCTAATTTCACTCATTTCCTCTTTAAAATCAACATGTGTACAACATGCCTTACCAATACCTTCTTCAGACATTACCAGCAGCAATCAAATCTCTATTAAAAAATAATCATCCCTTAGCATGTACCTAAATCCTTTAAATAAGCAGTTATCATGCCCTTGATTAAAAATACTGACTTTGACCCTTGTCAACTATAGGCCAATATCAAAACTCCCTTTTATCTCCAAGACCCTAGAAATAGTTGTAGCTCAGCATTTAGCCTTATACTTGCATAGGAATAACATTCACGAAATCTTTCATTCAGGATTTAGGCCTCATCACTGCACTAAGACAGCGCTGGTTAAAGTGGTAAATGACCTAATCTAGGCCTATGATGAGGGTTGTGCCTCCTTGCTTGTGTTTCTTAAAGCAGGTTTTTATACCATACGCTATAAAATGTTCTTGAAGTTAAGGGAACTGTTCTCTTTGGGCTCAGGTCTTATGTGACTGATCGTTATCAGTTTTTAGATGTAAATGGAGACTTACATCATGTGCACTGGTGAAAGACTTAGGTGTAATTATTGACTCCAGCCTCTCATTTGAAGCTCATGTAGATAATATTACTAGAATAGCCTTGTCGTGTCAGCCATATTGCTAAAATAAGAAATACAATGTCATTACAAGATGCAGAAAAAAATAGTTCATCCTCGTTACCTCTAGGTTGGACTACTGTAATGCCTTGCTGTCTGGATGTTCCAATAAGTGCACAAACAAGCTCCAGTTAGTCCAGAATGCAGCAGTCCTTAACCAGAAGATCTGACCACATCTCAACACTGCATTAAAATTTCACATTAATTCTAAAATACTACTAGAGACCTATAAAGCACTGAATGGTCTCAAGCCATAGTGCCTAAGCGAACTTTTGATCTTTCATGATTCTTTTCTTTTATGAGTACCTAGAATAATGAAGACTACAGCAGGGGGCAGAGCTTTTTCATACAAAGCACCACAGTAATGAAACAGCCTTCCAATTAATGCTCATGACTCAGACACACTCCCAGCATAGCCTGAAAACCTATTTCTTTAATTAAGCCTTTTGTTAATAGCTCTTCTCTTGGGTAAAGGCGCAGATCTGGAGGGTTCACGGGCATAGAGAGTTCTGGTACACTGGGGTGTTCGGATGCTGTCGCCCCACACTTGCTAAAACGGTTAATGCACAAGTTTCATTCATTATACAGTGGATAACTTCACTTGCATACTTTAGACTTAAAAGTAAAACTCTAATGAAATCAAAAAAGACCCTGCTGCTCATACTGAAGAAGCACTGCTTGATTCGATAGTATACAGTTATGAAACAATAATGATTTATAATCCCACTATCCGGTGTCACCCAGAAGGGGATGGGTTTCCTTTTGAGTCTGGTTCCTCTCAACGTTTCTTCCTCATGTCCTGTCAGGAGGTTCTGTAACTGTCACCTCTGGCTTGCTCATTAGGGATAAATCTAAATCTATATCCAGATATCTGTGGAGCTGCTTTGTGACAATGTGCACTGTTAAAAGCATTATATAAATAAAATATATTTGAAATGAATTGAACACATTTCAGACAAATGGTAACACGCATGCAACTTACACAAGGCATATGTGGACCCTTACTTCAATTTGCTCTAATGGGTTTTACTGATCTATTACATGTTCACTTGTTAATACGCCATTTTTGTTCTCATGCACTTCAGTACACCTGCCTGCCTCACCTCAGTCATCACTTTGTCCTGGCACTTCTTCACATATTTGCCATCGGCCTTCACTATGGTCTGTAGGAAGCGTAGGTATGGGACACGTCGGCCGTGTGTCTCCATGCAGTGTACAAAGTGATGCACTACACGGTCACTGATCTCATTACACAGGTGGTAGTTGTTCTGGAAGATGTAGCGCATGGTTTTTGCCTCCAAAAGCTGTGTGAAAGGGCCAAGAAAAGAATCATGAGCAATCCACAGCTAAAAACTAATAAATAAGTGGAAAACCATTTTAGATTACTACTGCCTGGGCCTCAATAAATTTCAGCATATCAGGATAAGTAAAACCCTCAGACATATGGCTCATTGGTACCATACCCCAGGGGTGAGGAAAAGGTTGAGGTGTTTGTGAAGCAGAATCTGGTTCTGAGGATTATCGTTACAGAAGTTTTGAAGGAAGGTGTGAGCCAGAGTCATGATCTCTTTCATCTTCTCATCTCCCTAAAGAACATGAAGAGAGCAAGCTAATAATGAAGTAACTCAAACATTTAATATTATTATTATTATTATTCATAATAATATAGCACCATTCATACATTTCAAATGCAGCTCGACAATGTGAAGTAACAAAAAGAAAGCCCTAACAATAAAATAATAAAATAGGCCAATGATAATAAAAAAAAAACAACAACAAGAGTAGTGATAGAAAGAACATAAATAAAAATACGTGTCCAAAAATGCAAAACTAAAAGTAAGGCAAATAATATAAGCTACTGAAGAGCTAAAGGGGGAAAAATACGTTTTTAGCTGTTTTTTTTTTATTTTTTTTTTTTAAAAACAGTGATAGATGGAGCCTGATGAAATGTTTAATGGTAGCATGTTCCAGATCTTTGGTGCATAGAAACCTTTCGTTTTAAGTTTCATACATG